TTGTGTGTGTGTGTGTGTGTTGTGTGTGTGTGTAGTGTGTGTGTATATATATATATATATATATATATATATATATATATGTGTGTGTGTGTGTGTATTTGTGTGTGTGTCTGTGTGTACACGTGTGTGTGCGTGAGTACGTGTGTGATAATTCATTGCCCTTACGAGCATTTCGCGAGGAGGTATTTACAACAAGCATATGATGCGACTATCCACACATACATACCAGTGCAGTACATAAGCACTTGCTTATCTCGAAGATCTTCAACCTGTTTATCCGCATATCGCGCCCATTCTTCAAACACTTTGGTGTCGGGGTCTAACGCCTGATGTTGTGTATCATGCGCATCGTCCATGAATCTACCAATAGCGTACTCTCGCTTGTTCCGCACGTCCAACACCACCAGTTCTTTCTTCATCTCGTTACCCGTATTATCCTTCTTACTATCCGCGTCTTCGTTCTTGTTCGCTTCCCAGTGAGACTTGAGGGTGTTGTGAAAATCAGCTGGGGACAGGTGAGTTCCTCCCAGACCCTGGTGAAGCAAATCTAAGGGCATCGCCCCTCCAGTACTACACAACTCCTTATGCACTTTAACAACCAGATCCGGAAAGGGCTGGCTATTCCTGGTCACACAATCCATCTTAAAATCGACTTCCGAACCGAATAGAGGGTGTGCTTGCAGAGCTTCTACAAGTTTCTGCACTCCTCCCTCGGATTTCAACCCTGCCAAATTAGCGTTGATACCTGAAGAGGGTGACGATAAGATTAGCGATTGGCGTAGGAATGTGTTAATATTAGCACAGTTTTTCATATATAATGTGTGAACCTACTGACGCTGTCAATTTGTTTCAGCTAATAACATTATATATGGTTCAGATACAGACGAGAGTCGGTTCGTAAATGACGTCGACAGAATATATACCTTCGGGCGCCAAGATCGCACGTCCGCATAGTGAATGGGCGGCACACAATTGCTTGACATACGCAGCAATTTCGTTGGCATCTGGTATCTCTACATATTTGTAGAAGAGTACAATATCATAAGTCTGGTCCATGATTACAATCGGTATGGCAGTGGCTCTGCAAACGACAGTGTGCAATGTAGTCAAAGTGGGCTCATAACTCGTGTATTTCATTTGTTACAAATATTTAATTTTCTGCGTGTCAACACACTCCAACTTGACTCAAGTCGACTGTTGTCAACTTTTCACAACTAACAAGTCATGTGTGTTGGAAACTAAATGAGAGGAATATGCGAATGCGTCCTTTTTCTTTTTTTTCTGTTCGTTTTCTTTAGAAATTAATGAAACCTTCGTACCGGCTGTGAGTCTAAAAAAAAGAAAAAACTGAATTCAAAATAAACCTCAGATGGTCGTCCTGTCCAGCTGTCCTCATGCCTCTTGGCTCTTATAGGACACTAGAGAGGAGCAAGAGACCTAAAACACAAGTAGCCTACTATGTAATATGTTTACTATTTAGAGTAGGCGTCCATAAATATCATACATAGCCTTCTGAAAAGTGAAAATATAGCATAATTTATATAAAATTTTGGTATACCCCAGCCCCCAGGCCCCGGTGGCCAGGGCGCCCCAGACCTGTTTTTTTTGTTTTATATCATTATAAAATGGTCAAACATAGATATTTTTGTTTTTTTTAATAATTAAACATAACAATTACATAATGACTTATTTAGCTTGCTCCTACTAAATAGATCGAAGATCTATTTTGTTTTGTTTTGTTTCTATTTCTTAAAAAAAAGGTATCCAAGCATTTATCATAAAATATATTCCGGTTATGAAAATACATACTATATTACAAATACATCTTTTTGTTATATTCTTTTACAAGTATACATATGTAAAAATATTTTTACAACAACAACAATATACAATACAACAACAAAAAAAATACAAATACAATAGCCTTTTAAATCAAACTCTTCATTTGTTTAAAATCAGTTGAATAAATATCTTATTGCAGTATACTTTGAGGTACTATCTTCGCTATGTACAGTAAGACTTCTATTTTGTTTACCGCACGCATTCTTCAGCTATGTTCAAACAAACATATTGTTCCCCACCGTCTGTTTGATTCCCTCAAACTGAAAACGCTACGGTAGCTACTTCATCACATCTGTGAGGAGACACAGAAAAAGGTAGAGGTGAAAGGGTTGTGAGGAGAACGAATGGTGTGAAGTATATCTTCTTCCCTAGCTTTGATACCTGGTATGTACACAAAGCAAGATAAGAACCTTGTGGACGGGATGACTGTAGAGGTCACTCATTTTAGATAATTTTCTCTAGTATTTAATTAGATCATCGTTTGCTAGGGCTTGTTTCGCATCAAAGTAGGAATCCGGTATATATACGTTCTAATAGAAAATTTGAACAATACACTAGAATAGAATTGAGACATTTTCAGTTGTATAGTTATGCCCCTCATGACCCTCATCAAAGGATTTGTTACTAAAATCAACAATTTTGTACACTAGCTCGAAATATCCATAGTTCTAACATAGCATACTTGCACAAATTAAATTATGCTATGCAACCGTTCGCTTTACAGCGAACGATCGCTATCTGTGGGAGAAGAAAAATCTGCTCTTGGATAAAAAAACCTAATTTGATCAACATCATGCTTGGTATTATAAATTCAAACTATATAGTAGACCGTATGTATTTCTGTGAGTATCTAGTCAAATAATCATGCTACCTGAACGCTATTGCAAAAACAACGAGTGTCCATGAACCATGGTCTAATATTAATAGCGGATTTTTTACCTACAAATTTACGAGGGCTGTATCAGGACAAGGGCTTGCTACATAAGATGGTTGGCTTTGTATTTCTCAGCGATTACTGAATACATATATAAATCGGATGCCTTTATTCTTGTATTGATGTATTTTTAATGTTTCTAGAATATTTGCAGTTCTAATACGAAAATTCTGATATCCGTCGATTCCACGGGCTAACTCAATGACTTGTGACGCACAATCAAGAGACGTATGCTGCCTGATCTGTTAAATTAGCTTCACCTGATTCTCGTAATCAACTTATTTACCTGCATCTGGGCCAATAGTGATGGCACAAGAAGCTTGTAATGCCTCATAATACTCCTGGTTGTCAGGAATATCCCTGTTAGTTGGACAGTCACTCATAGTCGTTTCATCGAAGGTAGTTAGGCAGGCCTGCTTCTCCTGGTCATTGCAAATAACTAGCGTGAGTGGTGAATTATACAATTCAATACCACTGCTGATGCCGCAGAATTGCTGAGCTAAACGTTCACCTTGATCTTCTCCGTTTGCGATACAGGTGTCCACACAACTATCCAAAGAGTCGGTGTATAATGTATTGATTTGGTTGACGTATGCCTGATTGTAGCATGTGGGTATAGCAGGGGTCTTCTTATTCGCCTCTTCAAAAGCCTTATCCAAATTTGCGCAGTCTTCCCCGTATTTCTCTCTTTCTGATGACCATACGCTGTTCGCATAATCTTCACCGTATTCCTCACACTCCGGCTCGCATTTTATAAGTTGTGCATCATACTTAGCTTCGAGGCCTGCTTCGAAACCAGCCTCTAGGCACTCGGGACTGTTGGGACCGGCGCTCGAAACCTGTTTGTAAGCAGTGTCGATCTTTTTGCAGTCATCGATATACGACCAAGCAGCATTCCATTGTACAACGGCCTGGTTAACTCCCTGGTCGTAAGAAGGTACCCCTTGACAATCACCACATTCATTCAGGGCACTATTGTATGCGGTATTCAGACCAGCGGCATAGCCCTCTTGCAAACATGCGGGAGATGTGGGTGTATTACTCTCCAGAACAGCATTGATAAATACAATCTGATTGCACTCGTTGCCCCGGTAGTCGTAGGCAGAATCCCATTGTAGAGTGGCTTGCTCAACTCCGGCGACGTAATCGTCGTTATCCTCACTACATGCCGCTAGAACTGCTGACGAGCAAGCGAATGCAATAACAGCAACCTGAATGATGTTTTGGGACAGCATATTGATTTCGTTTAAATTGTATACAAATTGCGGTTTGTAATAAGTCTGCTTTGAATGCACATGATTGCGATCTCTTAAGTACACCAATCCATGCGTTTTCACAGTTTACGAAATTTATTTTACATTGATATTCATTTTATATATTTTTCAAAAAACAATACCCTCCACAATATTCAAAATGCCATCATTCGGACCATATTTACAAAAACAAATTTTAAAAACAATACATTATGCCAATGCGACTATTTTTGTTTTAAACAAAAACAAAAACAAATAACAAAAACAAACAACACAGTGATAAACAATAAATTTTATCATTTAAAATAAATATATATTTATTTATGTATTTATTTACAAGAAGTTGTTTATTTTTGTTTTTTTATTTAAAACATAGCCTGTGGAAAGTAAAAAAAGAAGGCTCTGGGGGGGGTTTTCTTTTAAACGTTTATAGCCTTGTTCAATTTAGAATGCTATGAAGGCCTCTATTTCCTGTACAAAAAATGATCATGACAATTTGATACATAAATTCAAATATTTTTAAATATAAATATATAAATAAATATTATGCATATATATATATATTTTATGCTTTTATTTTTTATTATCTTGTTTCTATTGTTTTTTTTTAAACCAAAATCTAGCCTCTGAAGACTACTTTATTAGTATTTAAATATGTACCTTGATGACAGTTCACACTTCACACTTCATAGTTCTGAGTTCACCATTTACTCCTATACTGTAGTCCTTATATAGTAATTACTGAATTAAGATTTCGTGTCCCTGCCCCTGGGTCGCCCTCACGCCCTGCTAGTATTACCTCTGGCGAGAGAGTAAGCCTCTAGTCCTCTACTCTAGGCCCTAAGGGAGTCATAAAGAATACAGGAGTTGGCACTTGGTACATACTAAATACATATTACATACTGCATAAAATTTAAAAAAAATGGCTATATCTGTAATATAAGTGCACAATGATATTATATCAAAGTTTGTTGAGTGTATTTTTTTTTAAATTTAACAAAATGCATGTTTACTATTTAGACTGTACTCTGTAGTGTGAATCGAACTGTAGAGTGTAGACTGTGAAGTTCGTGAACGCATACATTTGCAATAAAAAATATGTAAATGGTAAAATATTCTATACTCTACTTGCTACTCTCTCTACTCGCAAGTAAGAATGAGTCATTATAAATTTTAAAATGCGATTCAGAATTCAGATTTTAAAGCAGTCCGGTGGTCGGCCCACACAGGCCACAGCCACACTTGCTGCCACAGCCCAGTGACCACAAGTATTTAGTAGGCTGTATAGACTATAGAGTCAATAGTGATCTCTAATCTGTATCATTTTTTTCTTTTCAATACTATTGTTTTAGTATTACATGTGTAAATATTTACTATTTAGACCACATCTGTTTTTAGCCGTTTGGGCATTGGAGCTTCCAGCTCAGCATAAATTACATGTTTTTAAAAAAAGAAAAAGGATAGAGCATATCTTTACCTAACAAAGTGGTGTATTAATTAAAAGAAAGACAAAGAGTATATTGTACATATTCTTGAAAAAATATATTTTTTGTTTTTCTAACCTGAACGAAAGATGCGTCACCGTGATTGCGTCGGGTTGGAACTCCGGGGGGGTGGGAGGTGACGAGGTCCGGCGGGGTCCGAGGGATCGGGGGGGGGGTTAGATATTGGGGTTAGATGTTGGGCTATTCAGATCACTACTCGCATGACATGATACATCTGATGTGTAGTTGAAACCTACGGCATTTTGTTTGTTCTTCTTTGAACGACGAGTATGTAGATTTGTGGATCTACTGGGTACTCTGTCGATGGAAAAGTCAGGCTCTCTCTAGAGAGAGAAAGCAACTAGTACATAAGGATTCGGGGGATGTTAGCAGTCAGATGTGTATTCGCTGTACCTAATCACCTATGAAATTAAAGTCAGGCATGCGACACCCAACAGTCATCTATCGCTTAAATTTAAATTGAAGCTGAAGAACTGATCCTACAAATATACATGGCAAGTAACCATGGCCGATTTACTGAAGCCTTTTGAGGGTACATACCTCCCTGATCATCGTATGTAATTTATAAGGTTATACTATGAAACAATCAACACTGTTTTTCAACGTGGGGTTGAGGGTGAGAATTGTCAAGCAGGGCGATGACTCGAGTAAGCTTGCGGCGCAGTGTATGTACTATCTTCGTATAAGGTATTAAAACCATTTGATGCATTCGTGCACGAGACCGGGATAGACTCTACAACATCAGATAAGCAATATCCAACCCACTCGCTTATCGCAACGGTACAGGAATTGAACCATATGGTGCAAAATTTCCACTTCTGAACGATATTTCGGCTTCCTTGTGATAGTCGCGACATAATTATAATTTTGAGTATACATTGCTCCACAGAGACGAACCAGACGAATATACATGGTAACGGTTAGCAATAGATTAGAGTAAATCCGATTATAAAGGCAGACATATATATATATATATGAAGTGTAGATTCAGATATCAGTTCCTTGATTTCCCATATTGCAGCGAACGTGTATATAGCATCAATTAATCTTTATTTATGTGGCGTAATGGATAGATAATTTCACCAGTACTCATAGATACAGGCACACACACGCTGTGCTCCATCTGAGGATCTCCTTCGGGTATAGTCGAACAACCATTCATGAGCTACTTCAGGGGGTCATGCCCGCTTGTTGGATAGAGTATTGGATCAGGGGCTTCAGGGTGGACAAGGGTGCGGCCATTTTAAGGAATGGAAGCTGCGTTCAGGTTAAGAAAGCAATGGATAAATTAGTTTGGCTATGAAAATACTTAGTGAGGCTCGCCAAGTATGTTAGAACATGGCATTGCTCAGTGAGAAATGAAATATGTATAAATTATATGTGCATGGACTTATTTAGCTTTACAGCACTTTGCATTTCCGCGCATAAAATACCATGTCTGCAACTCGTAAGCAACTTGACGTTAATTTACTTGCACTCGACTCACTCACACTCACAAATCCAACAGCACGGAAATCATATCATCCACAAGCACACGCAAGCGCATGAACGTATGTCAACACACAGCATAAAACACGTTTGGCAAACTAGACAAGCCATACAGTATCCTCAGCACGAGCACATAGACATGCTCATAAGCAAACAGCACAACGTTGAAAACCAGACATACCTCCAAAAGTTGAGAGGCACTGTATCGTTTCTCCACGTCCATCTCCAATGCCCGCGCGAGAAAATCTTTGAAGTCATCGGATAGGCGGTCGGGGTCTTGGATCTCAGGGGTTCCATTTGTGGCAATCAAGTACAGAGCCTGTATGAGAACGACGAAAACGCTGGTTAGCTGCATGTTTATGTGGACTTACGATCCTGTACGTCCGATGTAGGCATGTAGCATGTCGGGATATATATATATATATATATATATGTGTGTGTGTGTGCCGACGTGCAAACAGCAAGCATGTACTACAACTACGTACATACGCACGCACATAAACTATAACAGTGCCACAAATAATCTGTGAGCAAAGAGTAGTCCATCGTATAGGTGGCTCCAGAAAACATCCGAAGAAAAATAGACTCGCACACCAGCCACAACTAAAAAACACCTCTTGTTTGGTGAAATACAGCACGCAAGTGCGAAAACAAGGTAAGAGTATAAAACTAAGGCTTCAAGTCCACATACTCTCAAAGGGTTTTCATTTAGATACGGAGGCTCTCCTTCAAGCATTTCGATGGCCAAAATCCCAAGCGACCAGATATCCACTTTGGGACCGTATGCTTTTCGCGTCACAACTTCGGGCGCCATCCAGTAGGGAGTACCTACCATCGTCTGGCGTTTTTGTGAGTCACTGTGGTTGGAGGAAACGATTTTGTTTTACAATAAGTACTTTTTAAATAGCCAGATGTGCATAGAGCATCTAATATCTATAGACTACATATATTTTTTACATTTATATATATATATATATACATACATATATATATATATATATATATATATATATATATATATATATATATATATATATATATATATATATATATATATATATATATATATATATA